CGTTCTGTATCGCAAAGGCTCTGTTCAGCAGAATGGTGGTATCTCGATTCAGGAGGTGTTGGAATGCTTGAAGGCACAACCAACTCTCGGGGCTATGGACTACTACTGGAAGGAGAAAGCAGATTGCCCAAGTGCCCCATTGACCCAGAGTCAGGAGACCATATAATAGTCATTAGATGTGTTTTCTACGTTTAATATAAGTTTGTAAATGGTCGAATTGGAGCTTATTCAATCTGACTATTGTTTGTTCCACCTATAGGAGCGAAACCTGGAAGCGTACTCGACTCTCCACCCGAACATCAAGTTCCCTGACCTGACCCAACTTGCGGTTTCTCGACCACGAGGGGAATGCAAAGATGGTGCTTTGCAGACCTTGACCTGCAACTCTGGATGTATCTTCAGCAAGGACCTATTAGAAGTGAAAACGTGTTTAGGTTACAGTTTCTGAAAGAGATTCAGTTCGTCTATTGCTTAAAGGCTTTCATTCCAATCCCCCAGGACCTGGGTCGACGACTAAGCCCTCAGGAGATGATCAGCACCCATCTGGTCCCTACTACTGCGAATCACGCTAGGATTTGCGGTGCCCCAAAACTAATTACTGATGGGGCCACTGCGACGCAGCTGGTGTCATGCGCAGGAAATGCTATGAACACAGCATGTGTTGGCGCGCTGGTTCTGGCATGCGTTATGACCATGGGCAAAGCCTAGGTCAAACTCTGACTGGCCAATGAAGGAAATAGAACATAACAAATAATAATATCTTTAGTCATTTGTTTGCCTTCTTCAAATTGCCCAACACACACAGGTTTTTAGTCTGAGACTGCTCATGAAGTGTGTAACATGCTTTCAGGAGTGGTTTCCTGAGTTTCCATAGCTAATTAATTGTGATGGAGCCTAGATCTCACCACCTCACAGCAAGGTCGTGAAAATAGTATGACATGAACTGTTTGGCAATGGCAACGCTTACCAGTAGAATGGTCTCAAGTCCTCCCAATGTCATTCAGCTTTGGTTCAACCCGGAACAAAGCACGCGTCATCCCAAAAGGCACCTCAATGGGAAAAAGAGGCCATGGATCTGGCAGTGGGTCTGGAGGCCGAAAAGCCTTGCGAATGGCTTTGCCGCCATGGGTGGCGCTCATGAAGGAAGGGATCGAGTGTCTGCCTCACTTTCTCCTATCAAGCATATATGTTTGAAAATCATTGATGAAAACCCAGCTACTGAGGAGTTTTGACATTGCCAAAGATGAACATCCAGTAGGCTTTGTCATTGAGAAGTTGAGTGACAAGTCTATTTTTGGACCTTTGACGACTTGGATTCTAGAGCTGTTACCAACTGCCAAGCTTCCTCAAGAATCAAAGATGCCAGTATCTTTGTTGGAGATTAGTCTGTATCGTTTTCATTCTTTGTTCGCTAGTATCTCTTCCTGGCTCCTACATTATATTTGCTGCAAACAAAAGACCTAGGTTGGTGCGGAGGCCAGACCATTCCCTATTTCTTTGTTGGCCTTTGCTCTGACAAAGCCCGAAGACGGCCTTCCGATTGTGGGGGACTGGACCCAGAATGCACTTGATATTTATGTGGCTGGTTTCGAGACGCATCGAACTGCAATCGAAATCAGGCCTCAGGCTGGGCTTTCACCAGGCGAAGACTTGCAGCCTGGGTCCGTGTTGCCCAACAAAGGATTTGGGCGAGTGAGCGCTTTGTGGTTCGCAGTGGTTTGGACGTTCCTTAAGCATAAGGACTCCATGAATGGTGACCAGAACAGAGATTTTCACAGGCGTGGCCAGGAATGTATCAATTGGGAAAGGATCACCAAAAGGACTCAAAGGGTCGTCCTTGAGACATGCAAGTTTTGGAAGCTTCAAAGGTGAGCGATTCGTTGGATTCCTCGTCTTTGGGAAAGGCTTTCTTGATATTTATTTTTAACTTGTCTTAGAATCCCCTGGTTTTCTGATAGTGAAATTCCAAAGTAATATTCCCAAAGGTGAGCACTTCGTTGGAATGGTCGTCCTTTGAGGACCTGAAACTTGGGAGGCCCAAAGGTGCCGCTTTGGATCCCCTTTCAATTCCCTTTAAAGAAGAGGGCCCAAAAAAATTATCACATATTTCTGTGCTCATCGAAAGCCTGATATAGAGTCCAAAGAAAGGGTAAAGGTGAGGAGTTCATCGAAATCCTCGTGGATGTCAAACTGCACTAAGTCCAAAGGTGAGGATTTCGTCGAAATCGTCGTGGATCCCCAAAAGCTAGCTAGAGGACCTCAATAGTACATGTGAGGTCCGACAAAGTTCCGGCCTGAAACCCTCGTGGATGGGGTCGAAACCGTCGTGGATGGGGTCGAAACCGTCGTGGAGGGGGGTCGAAACCGTCGTGGATCGAGGCGAAACCGTCGTGGATGGGGGTGAAACCCTCGTGGATGGTGGAAGTCGTGGTGGACAAGTTTTCTGGGGAACTTGCTTTACATGTAAATTCTTATAAATAATAGGCTCTTAAGAAGAAAACATTGATTCGATATTGTACGAGAACTACTGAGAACTGCAATATGTGCTATCTCCATTTCCATCTCTATTCAGGCTATCTCCATTCCATGTTCCAGTCTTGAGAACACCTACAGAACGACACATGGTCGCACATAAAAAGATCACAGTTACCAACCAACAGACACACACACACACACACACACTTGTGAGCCTTCAAGCGAACTTCAAAAATAGGTAATATAAGATATATAAGGGTACATACACAACTACGTGACAGCTAGACCTCTAGACACTACGACCCATTGGAATTCGTCACAACAACAGCATTGGTTGTGACCATGTTTGCCACATACCTGAATGGTCATACCCAATCACAATTCGTAGATAAAACCCCAATAGCTGATAGACTTCAGATCGCATCCCAAACTGGCCAACAATGCACCTTGAACAAATAGAAGGAATTCTGGTGCAGCGTGAGCGCAACACAGTTTTGATCGTGCGTCCCACCTTGACTTGAGGGCCCACACTGCGCACCCTGAGAAAGAGTCAAATAGGCCTCACTCAGAAAAGCCATGAGTCTTCTGTTTCTGTACCATGGTGTGTGCATTGATCGTGTGATGCATATATATATATATAACTATATATAATAATAACATTATATGTTGTATGAAACATACAGCTTCTTTTTGTATGTAACACAAAAGAAATCTGAATGTGTTTTCGGACAGGTTCCTCATCACTGCTATGACTGTGGATTGCGTTCACCTTCCACAGGCAATGCCTCATGAGTGGATGTTCAGGCGTATGCAATTGCACCAGCAAGCGGCATTGAGACAGCAGAAGAACTGTTTGCAGCAAGCTTTGGTGTTCCATGCACGAGCTGTTCAGCTGCAGGACCTTCACTGACCAAACCGTGTGTGTGTGTACTTGTGGCTATATGTGCGCTCTTTTTGATATCGTGCATTCACCTTGATAATAATCTTATGTTTATCTGGTCTACCCTGAAGGCAGAAGACTCCAGCTGGAACTATAAGGAGGCATTCCTAGAGGCATGTCAGCAGTATAACGAGTTTGGAGCAGCTTCCCAGAACGTGCGACTGCAAATCGATGAAGCCACATCTTTGCGATTGTATGGACTGAAGGTGGCCTAGCATAATCAAACAATTTACTATTTTATGATAATTTTGGTATGGGGCCTCTGTAGGTTTACTTCCAATTCGTCTTCAAGACTTTACACTTATCTCGTTCTGCAAGTGGGATTGACTGACCAGAATTGGACAGAGATCGAGCGACATTTTCATATGTTTCGCGTTGAGCGCTCAGGACAACAAGGGGTGGGTGGAGCACAAAACATGTCACGAGTATCGCTTTTGTTTTTTAAGAGTAGTACCTAAACCAGAAATGAGACACAGTCACACGACACGTACGTTACAAACCATATACGTAGGAGTAATATGGCATCATAATGATAATAACAATTATTATTGTGGTTCCTGCTATATCCTGTTATTCTGTTCTGCCCTGAGCTTTCTCGCGAGAGCACCTCTTGAACGAGAGATGGCTTCTGGGGTCATGTGCGAGACACGCTGACCATTGCTGGCGGGACATTTTGCTGATGGAGCCCTCTAAGCAGAACCTTTTTGTGTCCAGAGTGCTTTTTTTTGCACAGGTTGGCAGTCCAGCGAAACACCACAGCCTCTCAGTCAGTCCGACTCAGCAGCCAACAGTTTGAGAGGGAGGCAGATGCGGCTTGTTTGGCTGGATTCATGTTGCACAAGATGTCCATCGAGGTGGATACTGCCAAGTGCAATGCCAGAGTCTTTAATGATTCGGTGGTTGCGACATGTCGACAGCGCTTCATCGAAGGGCACCTTTGGATTGAATTTGTGATAAGATTTGTTTTGAGGCGAAACCATCGTACTTTCCAGGTGTGTCTTTAAGTCTTGATTAAACATCAACCATCCAGGGACTACACCGAGAACCTCATGTCCCACGTGTCCTGCTCTGATCCGTGCTTTGATCACACCTCAGTGACCATGTGGCAGGAATACGTTCCTGACAAAGAGAAAGAGACTGAGCAAGCTTTGGTCAATGCTGAGAAACAGCTCATGGCGTTTGAGGCTGACAAGAATGACGCCACGTGGCAAGCTGATTGCCTGAAGCTGTGTAGAGACGTTTCCATGGCAGCCAAACTTCTTGAAGCAGCTGATCGCAATGACCGGACAGTTCGACTTGCGCGCATTACACACCTCAAAGAACAGAATAGAATCGGAGCTGGAGTTGTCACGACCTTCACTGACAAGTCCTGCGTTCATATGCCAATTGGGGCATCAAATGCGGACGCAAAGCTGGGAGAGGCACTGGTATTCTTCAAATATATCCTGTTTGCAAACCCCTCCAAAACCATAAATATCTCCAAACCTTACATTCGTAGTTTTCATTCCACCGTTATACCACCCTGTGTCAGTTCGTCAGCGAGACCTTCAGCAAAGATGGAGCATGCATAATTTGGCTGGACCTCATGAAGTTTGGTCGAGTCGCTGGTCATGAGCTTGAGACACTATGCGCGGCTTTGAAGAAGATCCTGTCTCGAAAAGCAACCCACTCAGCAGCATTTATCTTAGCGCCATACTTGGTATCTGACCGTGTACTTCACGGCATTCGTGGTGAAGTGAGGCCATACGAGTGACTCAAACAAGTGCTAACCAGTATATGAACATCGTATGAAATATTGCTTTTAGCAAGCAACTGTTTTCACCCTCTGTGACCCATGTGCTTATTTAATTACTTACTTTGTTTCTGTTCAGATTCACTTTTATTTCTGACCCTTCAGGCGACTGGAGGATAAGCTTGACGCCAAAGGGGTGATGTCCTATGCCGTCACTGTGAGATGCTCTCCACCGGCAGCAGTGAAGCGTGTCCCAATATCATACCCAGCGTGGGTTTGCTTGAATGACACAAGTGTCGAGGACAACGTGTTCTTCCAGTCTATGCTGATGACTGACAGGCGGCAATCTTTGTGAACATTAATGTCTGGTATTTATAAATTTTATGTGTATAATATATATATACATACAGCTGTCGGCGCCCTTGTTCATAATGGTTGTTTGCTGTTGTCGGCAAAATAACTGGTTTTGAATAGAGGGAAACAAACCTGGTAGGTCAACGCGTTCCTCTGTGGAGTTTCTTCCGGAGTCGGACTACATCATCCCCTCCACTGGAAAGGACAGTATTCCAAGCGCAGCCGAGGGATCCAGGCAATTGGTTTGAAACTACCTGTTGTATAAATCTAATGTTTGCCAACGAATCAGACTGACTGGTATGTTTAACCTCCTGTTCTGTGATTGAGCACACTTCCCAACTTTAGAACCTGATTCAACCAAACCTCAACTTTCAAGAGTGAGATGCATCAAATAGGAAACTCTTTCTCAGCAATTATCCAAACCCTAAGCTGTGCGCAGATCGATGAGCGAGTGCCACGAGTCAGCTCAACTTCTGGCCGGCCCAGAGCTACCTACTGTGGTCTTAGAGGCTTTGTTGAGTGGGTCCACCTTCAGTGGAAAGACTGTTGCAGTCGTGAATCTCAGTCCATACGATGGTCATTTGGAGAGGGTGGCACTGAAGTGGAAAATGACCCATGGCGAAGATGCTCACACACTGCGGTCTTTCTCACTGGGAATGAATATTGATCATGTGAGCTATTCGGAACGGGTGGTTGCAAATCAGCTTTTGCAGGACTGTTTGGAACACACAAATGGCCTGACTTGTAAAAATCAACAAATCAGAAGCAAAATGCTGATGACCAAACATATCTAGACTTCTATCCTTTGGACAGTCTGGGCCTCCAACTCTTTGGAAGATACAGTAATTGGTTTGGAAGCCAAATGCACCCCAGTTTGTTTTTCCTTCCTCGCCATCCTCACCATGTTTCTTGGCCCCTGACCAGGACTGGAAGAAAGGCTCAGCGATCTTCAGCGGCCATCGCGCCTACGATCCAGAGGTCTCAGTGTCCCAGAATCTGAATGTGACTGACTACCCAATGAAGTTTGTCAGCGTCTCCGTGGATTCGTCCCAACGTGGAGTCAAACAATTCAAGTTCAACCTTCCGAACAATGTCAGGCTGATGTACCATCAGGACCCTTTGAGGGCTGGTGAATGGAAGAACCTGATCTCAGACTTCGATTCAAAGCTCCCTATATTTGCTATCAGTACTCACTGTCAAGTTTTAGGTTTTATTCCAGAAAGGACCCCTCTTGTACTCTTTAAGGTTATAAACCAACCACTGATGCACTGATGCCTGTCAAAGGTTCAATGTCACGCCTCTGGAAAACGCCGTCGTGGCAGCGCCATCTGATGAACCTGAAGAGGAGTTGCCGATGTGGGAGGGTGAACCACCAACTTTGAATGATTTGATCAACACTTACAACGTTGAGTGTAAGCTCTCATCGTCATTTCCAGAAGCTACTCTATACTTGGTAGATGCCAAGCCCCGTTCTGGAAACTCCAGCGAGAATGTGGTTGAAGGTCAAACACAGAAGCTCTTTCTCGCCACTCTGGATATGCTCAGTTGATTCTTATGCTTTTGTTGGTTGGTTATGGAAGGGGTGTTGTTTTTGGGAGGTCTGGGATGTGAAACTGTTCTGAGGTTTTCCTAAACCACCCAAACCAGGTGGCCCATATGCCAATGACTTTGGACAATGCAGAGCCTATCATCGGACATGGCAAATGCTCCTACATGAAGGAGGAACGCGTCGCCAAGCTTGTTCGTGAGAGCGGAGGCAGGAAAGGTTATATTGAGCATGTACGAACTTGCTACTCGTATCTTCTCAAGAACTCGTGCTTCTCAAGAAGCATGGTTGAAGGCATGATTTAGGCTCTATTTGGCAGACACCCCTACTCTCTAGTCTTGCCTGCGACTCTCTTGCTGCGATGTCCGACACGACCTCTCCTTTGCAGCAAATGCTGGAGCACTACGGACTTCGAGCGGACAGGGTGGAGATGTGTTTCAATTAACGTTCATAAGACTATGTTCTATATATAGTTATATAGCTATATATAGTTAAATAGTTTTGTTATTATTATATAGTTAACTATAAAAAATGTATATTAGTCATATTTACACTGACTTTCAAACCCTAAATGTATCTGGTTCCATCCTTCAGGATATCGATCGCATGATGCAAACAAGTCCTGGCTTCACTGAGACACCACCTACACGTTTGTCTGGCGCTGTCACTTCTGATCTGCAGGCGACCCCTTCACCTTCCCCTCTCGAAGACGACCAGATGAATCGACGTCATCGTGGAAGAATTGTTGAGGAGGTCAAGCATAAGAATCAAGATTCTGAGGTGATTCCAAAAGATCAGCCTGAGGCCTTAGAGGAGCGCCACACTCGAGGAGTACCAGTCACAGTCAGCACGGCTTCTTTGGAGTCGGCAAAGAATGTCTCTAAGGAGATGAATGCTCAGCAAAAGACTGAGACTTCCCAGACCAAGTCACTCCCTCCAGTGACAACTGAAGCAGAGATGCAACCGAAGGCTGCGACAAGTGAAGCAGAGACAAAATCGAAGCCAAAACCATTGCCTTCTACGAGTTCGTCTTTGGACAGGGCAGCCAACCCATTGCTGGATCCAAAGGATAAACAAAAGCTTGAAGGAGACATTGCAGAGGCAAGACAGAAGATGAAAGAAGACAAGAATGCTGCGAAGGCCGCAGTCAAAGGGTTGAAGTCGACTTTCTCCAAACCAGGCACTCAAGAACAGGCTGAAGCCGGTCGTGGGCGTGGTCGAGGGCGTGGACGCGGCAGAGGAGCAAACAAAAAAGAAGATGACTCCGACCCAAAGACTGAGCCTGCTCAGAATGGCGACAAGCCAGTACGTCGTCGGCTCTTGCCTGAGCTCACGCCTGGTGAGGAGGGTGAGATGGTCATGGAGGAGGTAGAGGAACTCGAGGAAGACTCAGAGTCTACCACCTTGGTCCTGGGGCAGGAGCCTAAGAGGAGGGGAAAAGCCAAGAGTGAACCAAAGTCCAAAGCTGCTGATGCTGCTGCTTCGAAACCAGAAGCAAAGAGCAAGGCGAAGGCAAAATCAGCTGCAGCATTCAAAAAGCCAGCAGCCAAGGCCAAGGCCAAGCCTTCACCAAAGAAGGTCTCTCGTGCAATGAAGGCAAAGAAAGTTGCAAAAGGGAATCGCTTTGGGAAGAGGGGAAAAAACCAAAAGGAGCCAAAAGGATCGACACCTTCAGAGCCCAAAGGCAAGACATCAAGTGAGTCTGAGAAGAAGAGCGAGCTGAGCATGATGAGTGTGTTCCATTCTCACTTGCGTGAGACCATTGCCAAGTTGAAGGAGGAGGGGATGCCTGCAAAGGAGGCTTTGGCACATGCTCGATCTTCGTGCTGCCCTCAATTTTTGGAATGAGTATCAATTCAAGTGTGTTTGCGATAACATGTGCCAGCGTCTTTGTAGGATGTTCTGTTCATTGCTGCTGCTGCTGCTGGCTGGCACTACTTGTCGAGCTCAGGTGGCAACATCATCCAAAACGATTGGCATTTATGGGAACGCTTTCCAAGTCAGAGCTGTCTCGCCGCCGACTTCGTCCTGCTTCGACTGAGCCCTCTGCGAGGGAAGATGCTGACATGGATCGTCAGCAGGAGGCTGAGATGGCTGAACCTGAGGACAAGGCTCCTCCACCAGTTGGTGATGAGGAGGAAAATGTCATCAGTGACACTGACATGGTCTTTCTTGAGGGCTCTGACGAGCCTGACGAGCTGTCTGGCACACACGATGCTTCTGCAGCAGACTAGGTCAAGGCTGTTAGGCTAGCCATTTTCTGGCCAGACTCGCCTTTTCATTTTGACATCATGGCAGGGGAATGCCATATGTAGCTAGCAGACTCGACCAGGCATCAATCGCTAGGATGACCAAAACATTTGTCCAACCTGCGCTGCAAGGACGTTCTGGCATTGCATGCCGCTTTTAATCGCCAAGGGTTCATAATTTGTTTTTTGATGTTGCCATTTTGGAGGCCGGGCGCTTGAATGCACAACGCCCTTTGAAGTGACCTCCGACGAGACGAAAATGATTCTTGAGATCCAAAGCGAGAACTCGAAATCCATGAAAGACTCAGAGAGAGCAACACTCAGGTCCCTACTCCTTGAGTTCGAGGAGAATGATATCATGGATGCGACTGTTTGCGCGCACAATCTGACGCGCAAATCGCCAATGGAAGACAGCCGCAACTTGGCAAGAGTAATGAGAGGTACACTGGACTGGACGGCCAACGTCATTCTGGAGCAACCGCGCACAAACAACATTCAGGACACCCAAAAGAAGATGGAAAAGAAAACTAACACAAACAAGTCAACCTAGCAGCAAACTCTGTGTGACAGGTGGAGATCCTGTGGATTGCTTCGAGATCAAGCCAAAGGACAAGAAATGGATCATTCAGTGGAATCCTCTTTTCACTGGCTTTAAGCACTCAAACATTGCCAGCTCCTTCAACAATTTGGTGTCCCAATATGCACTGATGTCCTTTTCTTCTCTGTGCGCTGATTGCCTTTTCTTTTCTCTGATCGCTGCCTTTCTTCTCTCTGACCAACCTATGCTATTAGCTAATATATAAAATAGATATAGCTAGTATAATAAATAGGTTCTGTGTACTGTAGCCCAGGTACTCAATGCCAGTAGATCTGTCCAGCGGATCTGGCGTGTTGGCTACATCCAAGCGGACAATGAACTGACTCCGCGAAAGCCCTTGTACTTCCTTCGTGATTCTTTCAAGGGAAGGAAACTTGCAGCCAATGAAACTCTGCGGCTGCTTTAGGATTCTTGAGATGAATCTATGGGGTTCTAGCCATGAAAGTGGCCATGGGACAAAGTTGTCTGAGGTGTAGGTTTTGGAAGTGGCTTGGAAGTAAGCTACACAGTCAACAATACTCAGTATTGTGCTCCGGAAACGCTTCAGAAGCTTTGTGCTCACTCGACACGAGAGAAAATCTGAGTGGCGGGCAGTTTCGGTCGGGTCAGCGTGAATAGACTTTTTGTTTGAGCCAACACATGGATGGGGAGGACCTCAACGTACCTCCTTGCCTCCTTGAAGTTCCCTTAAGTTTTCTTATCTTTGCATTTTGTGATCCCCAGGTGGTTGGAAAGGATGCGGTAAAATCCACATGTCATACCATGATGTTGTGCAAAAGTGGCCACAACCAAATGCAACGAAATTAGAACCGAATGCAACGAAATTAGCTTTATTGTGTAATTCTTTACAGTCATATTATATACCAGCACCCTCCAACAGGTCTTCTAAAGAGAGTTGTTAGGCCTAAGAGGTCTCAATTGGTGACCTGTTGGAGGGTGCTGGTATGTATATATATAGACACGCCAAAACAATCTATTCCAGTCCCATTTGTAACTTCTGTGAGGGGCACAGTGTGCCCCATTTTTGGACCTCTTGATACCTTCCTACGCGCTGGACCGAGTTTCCAAGCAAGGTTCGACTGAAAAACAGCACCCGGAAGTCCCACCCACACCCCCCAACGGTGGACGTTTTCGTTGGGGGACCCGCGTTTTTTTTGGTGTTTTTCGCGTGTCTTTGGGGTGCGACCAGGCGCTTTGGCAGCAAAGCAATGGCCTGTTGCAGCTGGCGCTCACCAGCCCAGCTGGGGAGGAGCTCATGACGGTGAATCTCGTGGTGCGGGCGCTGAAGTTGGGGTTGGCATGGAGAATAATAGGGTTGTTTGGCTGAGAAGGTAGTCAGGTGGTATGTATGGTATGCTTCGGACAAGATCGAAAGGCACATCCCCCCCAGACTCACATATAGCTTCAAACCTTGTTGCCACGATGGAGCAAATTTCAGGACCTTAAAGCTTGAACCCCAAAAGCTCGGCCCGGTCGGGATCCAATCCCAGACGCTCCATGGGACTGGCATATTTACATACATTGACCCCTAAAACCACCCCAATGTAGGCATATATGGCATACATAGAGTGTCTGGGAATAGTATCAGAAGGCAAATCTCATCCTCGCACGAACATGTCTATGCATCATCCATTGCCGCAGACGCACAGGACGGAAATCCCGATGGTTTGCTTCGGGACTCACAACGGCTGTTTGGACGGGCAGCAACCTCCCCGACCGACCGCTCACATGGTGGCAAACCCAAACCCAACACTTCAAGGTCAAGGTCGGTCAGTGACACAAGTTTGAAGTGGAAGCCCCGCGCACTGTCAACTATTTAGCCTCTCCCAACACGAATTGCCATGAGTCAGTACCATCGTAAATCCCATGAGTTGCCAAT